TCTCTCTGTCTCTCTCTCTCTCACTATCCACTCTGCCTGTCAAAAAAAAAAAAAAAAAAAAGACTCCAGTGGAGTTTCTAAATGGGGGCATCATTTTCCTTTCTGTCTTTTTCCAAAGTTGATGGAAACTTTCCTGTGTTAGGGGCTGGGTACCTTTGCCTTTCTTCCCCCAAGTTCCATGATCAGCACAAAGCCTGACTCCTGGATACTGACAATTTTCCCTTTCTGGTCCTCTTGTTCCGGGTATCCAGTACTGGCAAAATTAGAAAGTAAGTGAAGGCTGTCTTTGTTGAAGACCTATCAATCTCAAATCTCCCTGGATCATCTAATCAGTAGGAAAGCCATGCATATTTGAAAAAAGTCAAGTCACAGGGCCTGGCGCTGTGGCATAGCTGGTAAAGCCATCACCTGCAGTGCCAGCATCCTATATGGGTGCCAGTTTGAGTCCCAGCTGCTCCACTTCCAGTCCAGCTCCCTGCTAATGTGCCTGGAAAAGCAGCAGAGGATGGCCCAAGTCATTGCACCCCTGTACCCACATTGGAGACCTGGAAGAAGCTTGTGGCTCCTGGCTTCAGATTGGTCTAGCTCCAGCCATTGCTGCCATTTGGGGGCTGAACCAGCAAATGGAAGACCTCTCTTTCTCTTTCTTTCTGTAACTCTTCCTTTCAAATAAATAAACACATCATTTAAAAAAAAAAATCAAGTCATTCCATTGTGTTAACTACATAATATATTTCCTAGCCATACACTCAGAGATGTGATATTTTCAGAGGAAGCAGACAATTTTTACATAAATGGTGGGATTTCAAAAGGTGGACTTCTATCCTTGAGGAACCCTGCATACAGTACAACATTCCTCTTGAGGTCAGTGCCACAGCTGACATTTAGATGATTAATGTTATGTGTCAACTTGACTGGATCACAGGGTGGCCGGATGTTTAGTGAAACATTATTTCCGGGTATGTCTGTGGGGGTACTTCTGGATGGGACACTGCTACCACTTGGGGTGCCTGCATCCCACTCTGCAGTGCTGGTTTGAAGCCTGGCTCTTCTGCTTCTGCTCAGGCTTCCTGCCAATGCGCCTGGGAGGCAGCAGGTGATACCCCAAGTACTTGGGTCCCTGGCACCCATGTGGGAGACCTGGATGAAGTCCCTGGATCTTGGCCTGGCCTAGTCCTGGCTCTTGTAGACATTTGGGGAGTGAACCAGTAGATGGAAAATCTCTCTTCCCTCTCTCTTTTCTCTCATTCTGTCACTCTGTACTTCAAACAAACAAATAAGTCTCTTTTTAAAAAGAGAGACTAGCATATGAATTGATGGGTTCAATAAAGCAGGCTGCCCTCCCCACTGTGGGTAGGCATCATCCACTCCACTGCACTCCACTGAGGGTTTGAATAGAACAAAAGGCAAAGAGAGGAACTTCATCCCTCCCTCCTCTGGCTGTGTGGGTTGTGTCATTGGTCTTTTCCTGCCCTTGGCCTGAGATGGTCACCTCTGGTTTTCCTGGTTCTCAGGCCTTCCCTTTCAGATAGAATTTCTCCACCAGCATCCTGGATCTCCAACATGCACACAGCCCAACTGTGGCATCTCGGCTGCCACTGTGTGTGAGCCAACTCCTGGTAACAGTGAAATGTGCTTTCTCTCTCTTCCTCTATCTATCTATCTGCATTCTATCATCTCTCTCTCTCTTCCTCTTCCTCTTCCTCTTCCTCTTTCTCTTCCTCTCTCCCCCACTTTCCCTCCCTCCCTCCATCTTTCCTGTTGGTTCTGTTTCCCTTGACTAACACAACATCGCTGGAAATGAAATCGCCCTAGGGCTGCGGAAAATCAATTCTAGTTTAGTGAGAAAGGGTGGCTCTAGTTTTACCTTTTCTCTAGCAGGCGCAGAACATTAACATCTTTCTGAGTAAGGAGAGAGGGGTGGGAGCCCACGGAAGAAGCCCCATGAAGACGGCAGCCGAGGTCTTGCTGTGGTGTCAGCTTTACCTTCAGGATGGCTGTGACAGGCAATGTGGGATTCGAAGGGGCTTTGAGAAAACCTCTGACCAGGAGAACAGCTACCCTGCAGAAGCCACTGGTTCTGGCAATCAGACAGATGCAGAGTGTGAGTCATTCTCCAGGCGCTTCAATGAGTCAGTGCCATGGAAACATGGGGAAAGTAAGGAGAACATTTTTCTTAAGTAAAAATAGACTTACAAAGAGCAGTCATGAAATCCTACATGTGCTCCTTTATTGGACCTATTTGAATAAATCGGCCCTAAAAGATCTCAGGAAAACAATCAGAAAAACTTGAATGTAAATTTTATGTTAGATGATATCGGGGAATGAGTGGTAATTTGGCTAGGAGTGATCATTTTATTATCTGTGTAGAACACCTTCCTTATTTTTGTTGGTGATGCACACGAAATTATTAAAAGGTGGACCAATTCCCAGGGCTAACCTAACAAACCCTGCACAAAGGTAGTGACTTAAAACAATCAAAATTCATTCTTTCTCAGCTCTAGAAATCAGACAGCTTCAGTGAAGGTTTCCGCAGGGGTGTGCTCCCTCTGAGGGCTCCAGGGGAGATTTCTTGCTTCTTCCAGCTTCCATTAGCTCTCTGCCTTCCTTGGCTTGTGGCCTCTAACACCGCTCTGTGCCTCCCATTTCACATGGCCTTCTCTCCCAAGTGTCAAAATTTCTCCTGCCTTTCCCCTACAAGGAAGACTTGTCACTGTGCAAGGGCCCACTGGGATAATCCAGGGTGGTCTCCAAGCTTAAGATCTTTATGTTAATTCTAATTGCAAAATCCCTTTTAGGGGCATGTGTTGTAGCTGCTACCTGCAATGCTGGCATCCCATGTGAGGCTCCCGTTTTGAGTCCCAGCTGCTCCACTTCTGATCCAGCTTCCTGCTGACATGCCTGAGAAAGCAGCAGAGGATGGCCCAAGTCCTTGGACCCCTAACTGGATGAAGTTCCTGGCTTAGTCCCAACTATTGTGGCTATCTGGGGATTGAACCAGCAGATGGAAGATTTCTCTCGCTCCCACCCCCCCATAACTCTGCCTTTCAAATAAATAAAATAAATATTTTTTAAAAAAAGATCCTTTTTATAAATAAGGTGATATTGCATTGTTAAAGATATGGGGTAATATTCACAGAATCTGGGTATCAGGACATGGGGTGTACTTTTTTGGGATCACCATACCAGCCACTATATTGGTGAAGTATGATTCTGAAATTTACTTTAAAGTGATTCAATAAAAATAAATGTGTAAGAAGTAAGATAAAAGGCTAAGGACTGAAGAATCTAGGTGGTAGGTATAGCACATGAGAATTGATCACACTACTCCAAAATGCTCTCCTGCTTGAAACTTTCATAGTAAAATGTAAGTCTCTTGTTCTGTCCAGACGGCTTCATTTTGGGAGCTATTTCAGAGAAGAGGGTAGCAGCATGGTCTCTGAGGAGAGAATGCCTGGGTTTGCAACCTGTCTGGCTTGACATTGACCAGTGTATGTCAGTTACTTAGTTTTTTCACCTATAAAATTGGAATAAGAGTAATAACAATAACTTTAGATAGTTGTAATGAGAATTAAATGGAATAGTGCTCATTAAGTGCTTAACACATTGAAAGGCTCTGACAATATTAGCTATATTCATTATTATGTGGGGTTTTATAAGACTTGAATTTATTATGCAATTTTAAAGCAATATTTAAAAAGACTTATTTATTTATTTGAAAGAGAGAGAGAGAGAGAGAGAGAGAGATCATTCATTCATCTGCTGGGTCACTCCCTAAATGGCAGTAATGGCCAGAGCTAGGCCAGTCTGAAGCCAGGAACCAAGAGCCTTTTCTGGGTCTCCCATGTGGGTGCAGGAGCCCAAAGAGTTGGGTCATCTTCAACTGCTTTCCCTGGCACATTAGCAGGGAGCTGGAAGTGGAGCAGCAGGGACTCGAACCAGTGCCCATGTGGGATGCCAGTGTTGCAGGCGATGGCTTCACCAGCTATGCCATAATGCCGGCCCCAAAGCTATATTGTTTAAATAGCAAAGCTTGCCTGAATAAAGAAAATAATACAGGAGATTAAATGTAAAGCAAGTATCCTCAGTGTTTCCCCAACAGTATGAGGTTCTTTTGTGTCCATGTGAGAATGACAGCAAAGGAACTGCTCAAGGCATGAAGGTCAGTGCCAGTTAAATGCAGAATTCTTTTTTTTTTTTTTTTTTTTGACAGGCAGAGTGGACAGTGAGAGAGAGAGACAGAGAGAAAGGTCTTCCTTTGCTGTTGGTTCACCCTCCAATGGCCGCCGCGGCCGGCACGCTGTGGCCGGTGCACCGCGCTGATCAGATGGCAGGAGCCAGGTACTTCTCCTGGTCTCCCATGGGATGCAGGGCCCAATGACCTGGGCCATCCTCCACTGCCTTCCCAGGCCACAGCAGAGAGCTGGCCTGGAAGAGGGGCAACCGGGACAGAATCCAGCGCCCCGACAGGGACTAGAACCCGGTGTGCCAGCGCCACAAGGAGGAGGATTAGCCTAGTGAGCCGCGGTGCTGGCCAATGCAGAATTCTTGACTTTGGTCTTCTCTGGCAGGTACTAAGGAAAGTCTTGCTCACAAATCACCTTGAAACTGGTAGTCTGCAGGAATGTGGCTAGGTAGGGCTCCTTAGAAACTGAATATGGAAACAATGCCACGTGAAGCTATTTAAAATTAGCAAGTTATGAGGCAGCCGAACCCAGTCCTCAAGAGCAGGCAGTCTGACTTGCTCTTCACAGGGAGCTGCTCTCTGTGGTCCCTGTGATGGGCACATCCCTGAGCTTGCCATCATCCTTGGAAGCTGAGGCTGGTGAGGGTGCATAGAGAAGGGACAGGAAAGCCTGAATTAAGTCCAGCAAATAGAGATGCCCCGAGTGCCTATTAGAAACCAGAGTAAGAATTAGCTACAGGACAAAAGGGGAGATGACAGCCGGGGAAAGAAATGGAGTGCTTGGTTCCAACAGAGCCGCTTGGTCTGGGCCTACCTGGTTCACTACAGCAGCAGAGCAACCAGGCCGAGGGCAGCCGTAGGACAGCATGTCTTTCGTCTTCAGCAGAAGCCCATCGCCGAGCCCTGGAACTCGGAGTGAACTGGGTGCTGCATTATGCTTTTCCAAGAGCCCAGCATCCTAAAATTAAACAGAAAACAGACTGAATAAAGGGAGAAACCAAAAGAGAAACAGGACTAAATAAAGGGAGATACCAAAAGAGAAACAGGCTTTCTAACAATGCGAAGAACCCCAAAGCAAGACAATTTATACAACAAGAGTTCCAAGTACTTTTTTTTTAATTTTGAAATTTTTTAATGCACAAAAAGAACACCCCAGAAACAGAACAGGTGCTGACTTAACAACGAAGCACTCTATAAAGCAGACCCCTCCCCACTTAGCCAACAGGAATATACTGTTAATAGACATGAAAGAGGTGAACACTCAGGACTAAATGCCAACCCTAAAGTTGTATACAACATTCATATATGGCTTATTATCTCCTAGGGACAGTATTTCCATAGTGATGTATACGACAGTTATATTTATTGGAAAGATGCTTTTGACTCAAACGTCTAACAAAAACGCTAAAGAGGTAGTTTTGCCAATGCAAGGTGAGAGAAAGGCTTTACCTTGCTTTGGTTATTTCCTCAAAAATCTGCAAACATTTCTTTTTTCTAACTTTTCCCTTGAGCAGTCAGGAAGATAAAGATATCTTTTGAAGAAGCCAATCCTTGACCTTCTAAGAACCAGTCGCCCCAAGCAGCTGCTTTTGAAACTGTTGTTCTGAAAGTCACCTGGGAAGGTTCCATCCTCTTTCTCCCATTTGGGATAGGAAGGACACTCTGACTCGATGCAGATCTGCTAAGAACTGGCCAGCAGTTTTAGGAATTCATCCTGGTTTGTGGCCAAATTCCATGCATAGTTTAAAGAAGCTAACTTCAGGGACTCAAGAGTACTGGTAGATGTCCTATCGTTGAAACTTGGGAAATGTTATACATTTTCTAAAGTCAAATAAAAATTTAAACAATTCTCTAGCTGGGCCATGAAAGGGCATCGTGAGTGCCTTCAAGTAACTGTACTCAGTTCCTCCAGTTTCAGTCGTGTTCGTAGATTCATCACATCTTCAACTCAAAGGGAACTGTAGCTTCTGAGGGCCATTTGCCACTTGCTACTTTATTTGTGTGGGTGGCACATGGAGTGGGGAAGGTCTGTCCATAAGCTTTGACACTGGGCACTGACTATGTACAAACTAGCTTATCCTAGTCTTAGAAATAAGCCCACCTCTCCCCCTCCCCCCCAAAAAAGTTTCAAGAGGCAACAAAACACTTCTCCATGTGCATACCTAGAACAGTTATTTACCAGGCAATGGTTAGGAACCACTAGAAACAAAGTGACATCATATTAATCAGGTCTTACTTGTTACCTAGGCACCTCGCTTGTATTGACTTCAGGATGCGAGTGAAGAAAATGGCAAAAGCCTGGGCCACCCCACTCAACAGCCTGCGGAGTGAATGGAGAAGTGCCTTCTATTTTTGACCACGGCCATGGGAAACGTGCCAGTCTGTGTGTGAGGGTGAGGAACACCCTGAGCCAGTTAGAAAAGACGTGTGAGTAATACCACTGACATTTAACAGTCTTCTGTGTCTAAGGACACCCTGGCGGCTTCTCGGTTTCCTCATAGAAGCAAGGTCATCATACCATCTCCAAGCCTGCAGAGAGAGCTTGGGACTGCAGTGAACAACTGCTCGTCGTCGTCCCCGAGTCAGACACGAGTGGAACTCTGAATCCCCTCATTTGCACGATCTCTCCCCTTTTTATTCCTCCTTCGCACCCGGAGGACACTGGCCTCAGTTGTTAAGGAAGCAGTTCCCCGACCGGCTGAGGCAGAACCCCACGTCCTCCTCATCTTTGCAACAGATGGGACCACATGGACTTGAACATGAACAATAAACCAGTGCTGGAAATCACCAAAACCCACAGGCACCACGGACAACAGAGAGGTGTGGTGTTTTCACCCAACCCCCTGTTGTGGCCTATTTCACTAACCACATTTGTTTAAGCTAAACATTCCCTAATTAGACTCAGACAAGAACACTGGACCTGGGACCCAGAAGCATCCAAAGCTGTTTGTGACCAGAGACCTATATCCACCCCTCCCCCCTTCCCCACTCCTCTCCCCTGCCCCACCACCACTGCAGAGATCCTGCCTAGTCTCCATTTAACTGATGAGCAGGCATTCCTGAGGGAAAAGGAAGGGAGACCTGTTGGATTTTTCCCCATTTCCAGCTGCACTGAAGAGATTCTGGTGGTAATTCATGGGTTGGTCACCGTGCCCTGTGGACTTCTCCCACGGAGTTTCTCAAAAGCTACACGTCCTGCTGTACCGATGGCATTGCTTACAACCACCCAGTCACCACAGCTGGCCCTTGGGCCAGCCCTTTCACTTGCAGAGTTTCGTCAGTAGCCAGAAGTCGCAAGCCCTTCTTTTGGCTTCCCTCATGTGCCTTGTGCTTCCCTAGCGATGCTCATCTTGTCTCACCTTGTGTCATAACTCTTGACAGCCTTACATTTCATACCTTTCTGGACAGGTGGCTCCTGATGCAATCCCAATAGTCCTGCAATAAGTTGGTCTAATTTGGTATTGAACCTAGCAGCCTGCTTTAAAAAATAAATGGCTGTTTTTTTAAAAGGACACTAATTCTTTGTACTAAAAAAAAAGAGTATATTGCGGAAAAAAATAGAAAAAAAATAACTACAAGAGAAAAACATGTAGTGTACACCACTTAGGTTTATAATCCTTTTCTTGTTTATCTATTTAAAAGGCAGAGTGACATAGAGATGGGAGGGAGGAAGAGAGAGAGAAAATTTCCATCCACTGGTTCACTCCCCAAATGGCCAAATGGAATGGCCAGTTCTGGGACAGACTGCAGCCCAGAGCCTAGGACTCCATCTGGCTCTCCTGCATGGGTGGCGGGGACAAGCACCTAGGCCATTTTCTGGTGCCTTCCCAGGGGAGTTGGCAATGAGCTGGTTCAGAAGCAGAGCAACCAGGACTCCAATATGGAGCACCAGCGTCCCAAGCGGTGGCTTAGTTCCCTGTGCCACGACACCAGCCCCTATAATCCTTTTGAAGTGTTGGTTTTCTTTCTTTATTTTTTTTCTAAAAATTCAATTAAAATGTTTATGTTCTCTCCAAGTAAGTAATATGTCATAGCAACATCATTTTTGAAATAGTTTTTCTTTTCCTGATTGATTTGAACTGTCACTTTCAGCAAAGTCAATTTTTAAAATTTTAAAGCTGTTGAAATATCATTTTAATTATATGGAAAAGGTGGCCAAACATTGCCGTCTCCACTTCCTCTGTCAGTCTAATGGGTCCAGTGCTCATGAACTTCACCGACACTGCTCTGATTAAGTTGGGCAATGAGCTCCTGGCAGGTGCAGCGGGTGACTACCCCTCCCTGAACCTCGTTGCCTCACTGACTTTGCGCCAGCTCCCCAGCTGCTTCTCCCCTGTTCCCATTGCTGCCTTTGTGCCTCTTCTGCACAAAGTCCCCCCTGCTCCTTTCTGGGTACACATTGCTTCCTTAACACTCTCATCTGAGCCCTTGCTTTAAAGACCAAGAGTGTGCTGATGGTTGCCCAAAATGGCTGTTTTGAGCCCAGATTCTCCTCACAACACCAGATTTGTATGGTCCACTGTCTACTTGTTTTTTCCTCAAAATATGTGACAGACATGGAGGGGTTCCTATGTTTGAAGCTCTTCACTTCCCATATCAACCCAATCCTGGTCTTCTACCAGTCTTCCTGGTCTCATTTACCCACTTCCTTCAGCCCATAACTAGGAATCACCCTTAATTCCTTTGTTTTGTTCAGCACCCCAGTTCAATCCTTTGACCCTAGTCTAAACCATTTCTTAAATCTATCTGCGTCAACTCTGCTGCTGCCACCTCCATCCAGCCACCTTCACATAGCCTCAGACTACTCCAGTAGGTTCCCAGCTGTGTTGGCTGCCTCCATGCTGGCCTCCTTGCAATCCATTCTGCAAATAGAAACCAAAGTGATCTGTATAAATTGCAAACTAGACAATGTTACACCTTGGACTAAATGCTTTCTTGGTATGTTCCAAGCTTCCCACCCTGGGTGCAAAATCCTACAAGATCTAAATCTGGTCAACCTCACATTGTACTACTGCCTTCTCACCCATTCTATTCTATCCACACTGGCCTTTCTATTTCTTGCCCTTGGCCTTGGATGTAGCTTTCTTGGAACAGGATGTGGTACACCACTTTAGTCCAGTGATGCCTGTTTTTCCCAGAGTATAGAATCCAGGGTGACATACTTTCAGGGCCCCTAAGCTACAATGCAACAAGGAATACATAAAGATGAAACTCTATCCACCCAGTGCAACTTTCCTGAAGATTAGGCAATGGCTTGCCATGAATCCTAGGTATTGTCCCTGGCTTCCTATCTGTGAGTAATAAAGTTACTTGATGAACTTGTTGTGTGGGTGTTCTGGTTCAGTGAACTTATGCAAGTAATAAAGTAACTGGAACGTGGTGAACCGGCTTTACACTAGTCAGATTCCATTTTTCTGTCAGACGTCAACAGGTGTAATATATATATCAACATTTTATTGCTTTTTTATTATAAAATAAGTAAATTTTTAACATGGAAATATAGTTAAACTAAAAGAAAAAAATGTGATCATCCATAATTCCACCATCCAAAGGTAACTACTTTTAAATCTTCTTGGTACACAATCTTTCTGTTTTTCTTAATTTTTAAAAAAGATTTATTTATTTATTTAAAAGGCAGAGTTAGGGACAGAGAGAAAGAGATGTTCCTTCTTCTGGTTCACTCCCCAAATGGCTGTGACAGCCTGGATGGGGCCAGGTTAAAGCCAGGAGCCTAGAACTCCCTCCAGGTCTCCCATATGAATGGCAGGGGTCCAAGGACTTGGGCCATCTTCCACAGCCTTCTCATGCACGTTGGCAGGGAGCTGAATCAGAAGTGGTACAGCCAGGACTCGAACCAGTGCCTTTGTGGGATGTCAGCATTGTAGGTGGCAGCCTCACCTGCTGTGCCACAAAGCCAGCCCCTGTTTTTCTTCATTAATTTAAACTTTTATCA